GATTAAAATATAAAAAAATCAGCAGCAAGCGTAAATTTTCCATAATAATGTATTAGTGCTTATCAGGAATATGTGCAATAGAATTACCAAGATAAGAGTGGCCTGAAATCATCAGCATATTAGTATCAAATACTAGACATGAATCAATAGAAGTAAAAAAAGCGGCAACTATAACTCTTGGTTACATTTGTGAGGCTTTGAAAAATCAGAAATAATCAATAGAAAAGACAGAGAGTGAAAAAGTGTTGTATGGAATATGTATGGGATTATAAGGAGAGAAATAAATCAAATTGATTTCAATCAGAGCATTGAAGGATAGTTTATAATTTATGGATCAAGTATTGGCACAATAATAGATCAGGGATCATGTTACTAAGTTGTTGGTTGAATCAGCAATATCATAAGATGCTGAAATAAGATTGGCATCATTAGAATGCTTAATAGACTACACAAAAGCAATTTTCGATTATTTAGGTAATAATTCTAAAATATAAATATTAGAATAATATATTTTGGGTTTATGGAATTGTACATAGGAAAGTATTTTCCATAAGGATTTTGCAATTGTGGCTATTGAAATATGGTAGAGCATTGCTTCTGAAATAAATGAGAGATAGGCTGTAAGTAATAGAACTAATTTGGGATTCAGAAAAACTTAAAAAGATGCTTTACAATTAATATCTTAATAATTAATCTAAGCTGTTCTTTAAAACTTGCTTATTTCTGATGAGGATGAAGAGGATGATGAAGAATAAGGAATTTAAGAGGCAGCATATAAGGCAGCATCTTCAATTAGTGAGGCATTAGGAAATTTATGTTATTAATTGTATCTAAGATTTATTGAAAGTAATTGAATTAATTCATTATATATTTTAGATACACTTTAAGCACAAGAATGGTAAAATAGAAAGGCTTCATTATTAGCATTTTCTTCAATGGTTGAGACAGCTGATGTTTTAGATTTATTCTAATATTCTAATTCAGCTATAGGTGAATTTATAAAAAAATTAGCTGATCCTCATAAATAAGTAAGATATGCTGCTGGTCGAGTAATAACAAGAATTGCTGAAAATTATCCATTAGTTATTTTGAAGCATTAATTTGCTGATGAATACATTAATTAATTTTCATAATTTTTATAAGGAAATACTAAATTAACAAAATATTTATTATGGACTCTTGTAAATATTACAGAAGCTTTTAGAGATGATCCAATAAATTAATTTGGCAAATATTATGATTTTTTAATTTCTTAATTTGCTACAATTATTGGAAGATAAGATTTTTAGAATGGAACTCTATTAGATATAGCTTGGGTTGGTATCATTAATTGCTTGTAATGTGTTAAAGAACCTTAAAAAATAAAGACATATTTAGAAGCATTTGGTTAATAAATGGTTGCAGTTTATTCATAGAGTGGATGGTAAAAAGAGGCTAATATTTCTGGATTATTATCAGCAATTCATATATGCTTTTTAAGATTAGTTGTATTAGGAGATTAGTGTGATATTTAATTGATGAATAATTTCTATGCACTTATTGTTGATTACTTTAAAAAAATCTAAACTGTTACATAAGATGGTTTTTATGCAATTAGTGCTATTGCTCAATGTAAATAAATCTTAAATATATTATATAGATAGCAAAATTAATTTTAAATCACTATTAGATGATTTTATGTAAAATTATTTAGAAATTGGATTGTAAAAGAAATTAGAAATTGAAACATTTAAAGGAGCCATTTTATGTTTGGCTGATATTGCTAGATCACTTCAATTTAAAGAGTTCAGCAAATATTTACGTATTTTATAATATCTAATTACTTGTGTTAATGTAATTGATTTTATATAATTCAAAAGGATTCATAAGTAAATAGAGTAGCCAAGATTGCTTTGTTTGTTTGTATAGCTGATATTGTTCTGATAGCAGAATAAGATGCTGAACCCTACTTTTAAGCCATTTGGCAATTAGTAAAGAGTGGATTCACCGCTTCAATCTACTTTACTTAGAATAAAGATATGACACAATTAGAATATTATGAAAGTCTTAATGATGCCTTATTAAATTGTTATTTATGCATGTTACATGCATTCAACTTAAATAAGGTACCCTACATTCCACTCTATTAAACCATATCTGAATTATGCATATTCATTTAAGCTACATCTGATAAGTCATTGACACCTACAGTGGTATAAATTATTATTAATAATAATTATAGGAATATATTCGTCTTTGTGTTACTTGTCTCCTCGATTGTGTGGCCTATTATAAGTAAGTTAAGGGACAAGAGAATATGTCTTAAAAAATACTCACCAGTCCTCTTCTCATCAGCTTATTAGATATGTTAAAATAATATTCAAACTAATAAGAAAATCAATAATTAATTATGTATGCTAATGATTTATGCAAATCATTCCAATTGCCTTAAAATTTGAATTGAGATCATCATTATATATTATTATGTTTAATTGAGATGTGGTGTATTTATACTGACAGAGTAGAATGCTCTATAAATCTATAATATAATATATAAGTTCATAAGTATTCATTGGTAATTTTTAAATATTTTTCAAAAAAATACATAATGAAAGGAGGTAAATAATAAAAGAACAAATCAATATGGGATTAAGTCAAAAACGAGGAAAGAGACTTCTATTATAACTTTTTGGCTAAAAAATACAGAAATCTCTAAAAGAAACTCAAGGATATAGCAGACCTTGAAGAATTACAAAAAACTAAAGAATTGAAACAAGAATAGATCTAGAAGATACAAAACAAAGAAGAAAATAATGAAAGAATAAAAGAATTAGAAGGCCAACTCTCGAATTGGCTAAATGCTAAGAAAGAAGCCGAACAATAAGGATCTATAATCACTATTGAAGCATACATTATAATTCTTCAAAATCTCGCCTAAGATCCCTAATTAGTTGCTCTATTAACTTAAGACCATGAATCCACCCATGAATTAGCTAAAAAATTGTAATCTAAAATAGTTGGATAATCAGCCAAAACAGATTAACCATGGAAAGGATTGAAAGTATTTGAATTATAATTTATATTTAGTTTGTAATTCAAACATAGGAATAACATCAAGAAACTAAACAAATCTAAGAAGTAACTGAAACAGAACCTATTTAATAATAAGTCCAATAAGTAATTTAACAATAAGAATAACCTATCTAATCAAAATAAACACCATCAGAAGAAGTATAACTTTAATCGAAATAACATGAATAACCAGAAATCTAAGAAACTTAAGAACAATAATAATTCAGTGAATAACAACCATAAAATGAATAACCTTAAGAAGATATTTAAAATTAAGTCTAATAACCCAATTAAGATGAATAACCATAAACAAAAGAAGGTTAAAGACATCATTAACATCGTGATGATAGAAGAAATTACAAAAAAAATTACAATAATAATAATTATGATAGAAGAAACAATTATGATCGACCATACAGAGGAAACAAATAATATTATCAAAATAGAGATAGAAATTATCAATAAGAATAAATTTGGGAAGAAAAAGTTGATAGATAGGCTCCTTAAAATTAAGAAGAGTAATAATAAGAAGAGGATGATTACATTACTGTTAGAAGCAAGTATCATTTACCTTTATCTAATCTAGAAAACCATAGAAACCATAGAGAGGAGGATAAAGGAATTATGAAAATAGAAATAATAATAGAAACTATGAAGGCAATCAATCAAGAGGATAGAGAAACAATGAATAAGTTGATAAATGAGAGTATTTAAAATATATATATATATATATTTATATATCTTTGTTATATTTACAATAATTATCTTTAGTTAATAAATAAAAGATATTATTGTAAACAAATCTATAGTTGTTAATTTCTAAATCTAATTAATCAATTATTAACTTTTCAAATCTTTCTTTAAAGTTTAAAGCACTCTATCTTTATATAATAAACTTAAGATTAATTTAAAAGTAATTAATCTTTAAATGATAAATATTATATAGAAAATATTTATTGAAAACAATTATAAAATCCTTAATCTTATCCCAAATTTATAATTAATACTTATTATTAATAGTTATTCAAATAATTTCTAGTATCCTATCCTTTAAGTAATTATTTTTTATTCAACATTATTATGATAGTTCTTATATGTATTTATATCTTATTGTATTTGTTAAAATTATTAGAAAGTGAGATCAAGCTTAAATGGATCTATTAACCCACATATAAAAATCATTTTAATAATTAATTTCAGCCATAAAGTTATATTTGATAATCAAATTCCCTTTAAAATAAAGCATAATTTATGAAATGACATATAATTAAAATGAAAATTTTATTAACTTAAAACTATTAACCTATTAACAAATTCAATCTCTTTTTTTCTTGAGGTACTCTTCCCTTTCTTATTACTCTAATAATTTTCTATATAATTCTAACTTTACTCTTTTAGCTTCCGATTTATCCTTTTTCTCTTGTTTATTATAATAAATGCTTAAGGATATCAAAACTACTATAAAAGCAACAACAACATAAACAGGAACCTAAATGATAATTTATATTGATTACCATTTTTCATAAGAATGTTCTTCTTGATCATTTTTTATATGATCAATTTCTTTTGGAGTTTCATAAGGTTCTAGATGTAGATATTTCTTTTCATATAAAATTGAGTAAAATTACCAATATTAGTAGATTCTATTGATTAAATTAGGTTTTACCATTATAAAAATACATCTTATTATCAGTATCAAAAAATACAAAGGTTGGATATTTAGTTATACCAATCCTATCACCAATAAGTTCTTATTTATATCTTTGTTAATGTTTATTGATATGTATCTATTGCACCAATATTTATTGTACAATTGTAAGTTTTTACCATTTCTTCCAAAATTTTAACTATTCTATGACAACCCTTACATCATGGAGCCCAAAAGAATATAAATCATGGTTTTTATAATCCTTCATTGCCTAAATGTGTAACTGCAATCCCAATTATTGTCATTTAACATTATAGCAGGGGTCTATTTTGCGAATTCTAAATCTGGCATATCCTAAAGAGGTACATAAAACTAAAATCACAAAAAGAAGCTTAAATTTCATTATTTTATTTTATTATTTCTAAATAATATATTTCATTCTCTTGTTGCAACAAAATAATTATTTGCTTATTCTTTGGCATTGTTAGTCCAAGCAATCTATCAATAATTTATTATGAATTTCTTACTTCAGCTAATAATACAGTGCCAGCTAAAGTCAAACAGATTGGGGCAGCATATGTGACTCTCTTAGGTGTATATACTGGAGCATAATGTTCAATATATGATAATCTTGGTGCCTTAGTATAAATCAAATGGCTGAATCATATAAATTTTTATATACTCAAGATATTAAACTGATCTTCCAATAAATGTTTTGTTTGTAAAGTTTGTGAATGACAAACCAGTTGCTGTCACTGCAGAGCAAATTGATTTGTAGAGTTTGAATGAATTTGGATTCATTATTATTAGATATATATATATAAAATTAATTAATAAATTATTCTTTAATTCTAAAGGTCATTCAATTGAGTAGATTAGAATTTATAGGTTAGTAATTTTGAATTTTGGTTTGCATTAAATATGGCAATTACTTATTTAATTGAATAACCATAATTTTATTTCATAAATTAGTTAAAAAAATTTGAAAATAAATGGAATATAAACGTTTGCTTGATATTTGTGAATAATTACTTAAACATTCAGGTAATATTTCTTATGATAATGATTGATAGCATTACCTTTGGATATGTTAGAAAAATATTATTTACTAAAAGAAAAGACATTGTCTAATGTTATAGTTAATCCTTAAGCAAATTAAAATGTTTTGGTTGTTAAGATCATTCAATTATTTGCTTAATGTTTTAATTAGATGCTTACACAAAGAGATATTAATATAACTAATACAGAAACAACAATCAATCATTTATTAGTAAGATTATACTTAATTTTAATAAAGGATACTTACAATGCGAATGATTTAAGATCTGAATTTTCTACAACATTCCAAGTATATATAGCATATTTGAATTCATAGTTATTATTACAAATAAATAGTGATAGAAAGGAATTGGATGCCACAGTAACATTTTTATAAAATGAGATAAGGAAAATTAAATTAGAATTGAATATGTCAAATTCTAGATTAGATTAATAAAAGAAATTGACAAATTCAGAGGATAAAGAGAGAAGTTTAAAAGTATAAAGAAATTTAAATTATATAGTTATAGAGATAAATAGATGAATTAAAGGATGAATTATAAACAAAAATAGAAGAACATGAAGAATAAGTTCATTAATTATAATTTAAATATGATGAATAAATAAAAGCATTAATGAAAAAGAATAAGGATACATTTTAATCAGAATCTAAATATTAATAATTAGAAAAAGAATAGAAATAATATGAAGAATTTTTTGATAAATTTGCTGAAATGTCATTACCATATTTAGAAAAATATGAAAGAGATTTTGAAAAATAATAAGCTAAATCTAAAAAATATTCAGAATAAAATATAAGTGAAAATGAAATACTCTTAGATTTTCTGTTCTATTTACTTTAAAAATATGTTCCATTATAAGAAGATATGAGAGAAGTTAGAAAAAGTAGTGCTAAAAAAAGTAATCAAGCAAGTCCAAAGGTATCAAGAGAGAGCAATAAAGGAGAATCATCTGCAACAAGAGATTTACATTTTGAATAATACAAGGTTTAAAATAATAATCAAATTGATGATACAGTTAATAAATTAAAATAAGAGTTGGAATAATCAAGAAAAACACTTGAGAAATATGAATTAAGTCGAAATAAATTATAGGTAATATTAATAAATAATAAATTAGAATTAAATATCGTGATTTATTTAATATATATATATATAATTTTAATAAATATCTTTCAATGTCTTTGCCATAAGGAATTCCAATGAATGCTGTTTATAAACAAGTTGTTATGGAGCATAAGGAAGATGATAGAGTTGAGCAATTAGAGGCACAAATTTATAACATGGAAAAAGATCATAGTATGTGGAGAAAGAAGTATTTTGAACTTGAATCATTATATGATAAATGTAGATATGCTGCTGAAAAAGTAAACATTTTTTTATTAAATTAAGTCAGTCTAATTAGAAGATAGAATCAATCTATTAAGATAAGACAATTCATAAATATCAGGTTTGCTTAGAGAAAAAGCTACAGAATGTGAAAAAATGAGAGTGAGATTGACATAATTAGAAAATGAGAATTTTGAATTAAATACAATAAGATTGTAAGTAACTAAATTTAATGATCTTTTATCATAAAAGACATAAGATATTGAGTAATTAAGAAAGAAAAATTCAGAAATTTATGCTAGAGTAATTGAATTAGAAGGAAATGAATTAGTTATTAGAGATTATAAGGCTTAAGTAAATAGTTTGACAAAGGATTTAGATGTTTGGAAAAAATTATATGAGGATTAATAATAAGAAAGAGTCAAACTATTAGAAATTATTAGATAATTTGAATAAAACAATCCTTTATCAGGATCAGTCAAATAATCTTAATAATAAAATAGTGAAGTAATTGAAAGAAGAGTTGTCACAACTTAAGAAACGACTAATAATACTCTTCAATTTTAATCATCACTTTTATAAAATTAAGCAACTATTTCTGATTTGGAGGATAGACTTGGATTCTAAGAAAAGTAAAATGATAAATTGAAGCAAGAGTTAGAAGGCAGAATTAAAATTAATAATGAACTTAAATTAAAGTAATTTATTATTTTATTTATAGAATAACTTAATAAGAATGTGAATTAAAGAATATAAATTATTTGAAATTAGATAATTAAAAATTAAAGGATTAATTAGATTAAACTAAAAGAGAACTTGATTAATTTAGAAAATAATATTATACAACTTTAAGTAAATTATAAATTGCTGAATAATAACTTAATGAATTATATAATTTGGAAAATAGACTTTAATTATTATAATAAGAAAGAGATACCTTAAATAAATAATTAAAATAAAAAAATGAAGATATTGGATAATTGTAAGACAAAGTTTCATCATTGTTATCTTAATTAGAATAATTGAGACTTAATGATTAAGCAAGAAATGCTGCAGAAAATGAAGTTATTTAACTCAAATCTGAATTAAATAAACTTTAAAGTAATCTTAAATAAAAAGAATAAACTATCACAGATTTACATGGAAAAATAAATGACTTATAAAAATAATTAACTAATGCATAATCTGATTTTAAGAGATTATAAGCTAAGGATTATTCAGGATTATAAGATTAAGCAAAATTAGTTAATGAATTATAATAGAAATTACTTTAATTGAGTCAAGATAATTCTAAATTCTAAAGTTAAGCTTTTAATTTAGAATCCAAAAATAATTCATAAGTTTAAGATATTTAAAGATTAAATTCTTTATTATAAACTAAAACATAAGAACTTTAAGATGCAAATAAAAAGATTAATGATTTAGAAAATGATAAGACAATTCCTGATCTTAAGTTTTAGAATACTTAATTAATTGCTGAATTGAGAGAATAAGAAACTGAAAATTAAGGTTTATAAGAGAAATTACAAATATTAGAAAATTAAATCATTTAATTAAATACTAAATTGACTACAGCTGAAGCTTAAGCTAATTGTAATTTGAATGAGAAAAATAAGGTTGATTAATTGTTGTCTTCTTATTTGCTTCAATTATCATAATTAGAAAAAGAGTAATATATTAATTTAATATTTTTAGAGTAGATGAACTAAGAGTCATAGCCCAATAAGTATCATAATAGAGTGCTATAAATAAATAATAAGAATAACACATATAAGCATTATAGAAACAATTAAAAGAATATAGTAGCTAATTCAATGAAGTAAGTAAAGAGAATGAGAAATTATATGTTGATAATTCTCAACTCTCTACTCGTATTTCTTAATTAAGTGAATTGCCAAATAAGATATAAATATTAGATGAGGGAATATAAAAATTGTAATAAGATTATAATAATGAATTGTAAGCTAATGAAACATTAAATAAATAATTGAATGATGCATTAAAAGTAAAGAATGATTTAGAAAATAAAATAGCCATGTTATCAACAGAAGTTGAAAGATTTTAATATAAATTAAATAGTAGATAAAATGAGGCTGAATAATTAAAAAAATAAATAGTTGAATTGGAAACTCAAATTGCTTAATTGAAATAATTGGAATCAGATAATTAAGTTTTGGCAGATAAAATTGCTCATCTTGAATAACAATTAATTAATGAAGCAAATAAGAATTTAGAACATCTTTTAAGAGTAAGTTAAGATGAAACTAAATCATATATATTAGATAATAATAATCTTAAATAGCAATTAGATTAAAAAGAATAAGAAAATAAATAAAAGGATGAATCTTATAGATAATTAGAATAAAAATATTAATAACTTTAAAGTTCAAATAAGAATTTAGAAGCATAGAATACTTAAATTGCTGAATTATAAAATGTTATAGCTGGATAAGAAAGTGATATACAAAAGTTCTAAGATCTTATAGAAGAATTAAGAGATAAAAACAATGATTTAGTAGCAGAGTAAATTATTAATTTAATTATTATTTAGATCTTAAAAATTATAAATCGAATTAACTTAATAATAAGTATAGATTTCAGATTTGAAAAATCAAATTGAAAAGTTAAATACTTAAGTGAATAACAATTAAAATTATGATTAATTAATAGAAGAATTGAAGAGAAAAATAGAGAAATTGTAAGAAGAAAAAGTAATATTTAATTATATTATATTAAAGTACTAATTAGAAAATAAAGTGGCCTTATTGTCAAGTGAAATAGAGAGAATGAGAGTTAAATATGATGCTTAAGGAAATAAATTAAATACTTCAGAAGAGTAAAGATAAGGTGTAACTAAGGAATTAGAATAAGTACATAAATTATTTGAAGAATCATAAGATGTATATATATATTATTTAAATAAAAATAGGAAATTGATAAATTATAGGAATAATTGTCAAAACAAAAAGAATTAGAATAAAAAGAATAAGCTTTAAGTTTAACTTTAGTAAATGCA